GTCGTCGCACCCAGAGCCTCAACAGCCGCGTCAAAGCATAGTTAGACGAAAGATTGAAATGCTCCCATGTGCGCATACGAGATGAGATGTAAGAGATTTGTTTGTCCATGTACCCTCAGATCTCCGTCGTTATCGATATCGTCATTAGTGTACCCGAAAGGGGCATGGATCAAGCGCGTCACTGCCATCGCCGCGGCTTTAACAGCAACAGCTCCGCAATCATCAGCTTCCGGGTCCTCCCCACGTCCGCCCAATGTCAGCCAATCCAGGTGCACTGAAACGGAAGCACTCGGGCAAGACGATCAAAGAGCTCTTTACCACACAATCCAAGCCAAAGCTCGCCTCCGCAGCGCCGCTCTCACCCACTAGCAAGCGCACACGACGTGACAGCTCTCCGATCCCCACCACCGAGATCGCCACACCGCCAGCGCCGATTACCAAGATGAGCACAGCAGAGATGTATCACTTCCCCAGCAAGAAGGCGGGACTATCGAGCAATGCCGACGTGGTAGACATCACGTCAAGCCCCGACAACAGCCCTGCCAAAGCCAACGGGCAACGGAATGGCATGCGCAAAGCAGCGCCCAACATGCACGCCAACAATGGTCCCAAGCGATTGGTGGTCAAGAACTTCAAGCCCACGAGGAAGGTGGACCCCAGGGTCTTCCTGGACCAAACATGGGCCAAGATCGAGAAGGCTCTGGACACCATCTTTCGGCAGGGGGATGTGGACTTTAGTCTGGAAGAACTATACAGAGGTGTAGAGAACGTATGTCGCCAAAATATGGCGAAAGACATCAAGGAACGCTTGATTGCGAAATGCAAGGACTACGTGGGCGGGAGTCTGAAGGCGAAGGTCAAGGAGAGTCTGGGAAGGCCAAACATTGACGTACTGCGGGCAACTCTGCAGGCGTGGGTAGTGTGGAACAGCCAAATGGTCAGTTATACCCATATACGTGCTCACGCTGTCATACTGACAAACTGAAGAAATACCTTGACTGGATCTTCTGTTATCTAGACCGCGCCTACCTACTCCCGCGACACGAGTCCCTCCGCGAAATCTCGATCAGCCTCTTCCGCTCCCTCATTTTTGAACACTCCAAATTGAACCCGCGCATTGTCGATGGTGCCTGCGATCTCGTCGCTAACGACCGGACGGGCGGTGACTTGGACAGCGAGATGTTCTCTAAGACGGTCAACATGTTCCACGACATGCAAGTCTACACACGCTCCTTTGAGCCGCGCTTGATGGAGATCAGTCAGGAATACGTTGCGAAGTGGGCAAACACAGAGAGTTCAGAAAAGTCACTACCCGAATACGTCCGCAGTTCGAAAGCACTCATGGATCGCGAGATGAAGAGGGTCGACATGTTCAGCCTCCCGAACACCACCAAACGAGAGCTCCTCACGTTGTTTGAGGACCACTTGATATCGAAGAAGGAGGTGCGACTGACCAATCAAGACGAGCTTGCGGATCTTCTCGAAACCAACGCCATTGAAGATCTTGAGCTACTGTACACATTGCTCGAGCGGAGGAAACTTGGCTCAAAGCTACGGCCAGGGTTCACAAAGTGGATCGAGGACGAAGGCACAGCTATAGTGTTTAACGACAAGGAGCAGGATAACATGGTGATACAACTGCTCACATTGAAGCGCCAATTAGACACATTGTGGAAGGCGTCTTTCCACCGAGATGAGGAGTTGGGTCACGGTTTGCGAGAATCTTTTGACAAGTTCATGAACAAGACAAAGAAAACGAGTGCAAGCTGGGGCACGGACAACTCGAAGACTGGCGAGATGATCGCCAAGTACGTGGACATGCTGCTGAGGGGAGGCGCAAAAGCGATACCAGCACAGCTTAGCCGCAAGGCAGACAAGCCCGCTGCTGTAGAAGTTGAAGAAGATAACGAAGAAGGTGTTTTCGATGAAGACACAGAAGTCAATAATCAGCTCGATCAGGTTCTCGATTTGTTCCGCTTCTTGCACGGCAAGGCTGTGTTTGAAGCTTTCTACAAGAAAGATCTGGCCAGACGATTGTTGATGGGCCGAAGTGCGAGTGCAGACGCTGAGAGGAGCATGCTGTCGAGACTGAAGATTGGTAAGTGTGTACCTATTTGCGACTTACTGAGATACTAACGTACTGCAGAATGTGGTGCCGGCTTCACCGCCAACCTCGAGCAGATGTTCCGCGATATCGAACTGTCACGAGAAGAGATGAGTTCGTACAAGAATATTAGTGAGGAACGCAACGAAAAGCTCAGCCTGGATCTCAACGTCAACGTCCTTTCTGCGTCAGCTTGGCCTACGTACCCCACAGTCCCCGTAATTCTACCTCCGCAGATCCAGTCTGCGATCAACAAGTTTGAAGCACACTACAAAGTCAAGCATTCTGGTCGCAAGCTGGAATTCAAGCACGCGCTCGCCCATTGCCAGATCAAAGCCAGGTTTCCCAAGGGACTCAAGGAGTTGGTGGTGTCTTCCTTCCAGGCTATCGTTCTCTTGCTCTTCAACGGCCGAGCGGATGATGAGCACATTGACTACGAGTACCTCAAACAAGCCACTGGACTACGTAAGTTGCGCGCTAGATCTACTCTATTCGCATCACTAACATCTGATAGCGCCGGCTGAGCTTAATCGCACTTTACAGTCCCTAGCCTGCGCAAAAGTCAGGCCATTGACAAAGCACCCCAAGGGCCGAGAGATCAATGAAACCGACACCTTCACACTCAACGCGTCATTCACAGACCCCAAGTACCGTATCAAGGTCAACACCGTCCAGCTCAAGGAAACAGCAGCCGAGAACAAGGAGACCCATGAGCGTGTCGCTGCTGACCGCAACTACGAGACGCAAGCTGCCATTGTCAGGATTCTCAAGGCGAGGAAGAGAATTAGCCACGCGGAATTGGTCAGCGAGACCATCTCAGCGACGAGGAACAGAGGAACATTGGAGGTCAGCGGTATCAAGAGAAACATTGATCGCTTGATCGAGAAGGAGTTCCTAGAAAGAGAAGATGACGGACTGTATGCTTATATTGCTTAGGCTATGCACATTGCCAGCTGGTTTGGATATCAGCACATACTTTACATAGCCGCAGAAGGCAGGCTTACAGTGTACAACAATGATATTGTTATCGTGTTCTATCTATTGCGAAGATTGTATCATGTTCTACCCATCTTCGCGCTCGGTTAGTGAGTGCACGTTGGGCGAGCTGCTTATCATTAGTACCGAACAACGGTCAAGACCGCATCCGGCACTTTTCGCTCAGTAATCGATACCTCTCCCTAGCCGCCGGCATCGCTGCACTCGCTTCTACTACCATCCGCACTTACCGTCGTGGAGGTCGATCTCCTAGTCTACATGCCTCCTACACCCAATGCCCAGGCCCACCTTCCAAATCCAGCGCTAGTTGCCGCGTTTCCCTGTCGATCCCTAACCGCACTCAGCCTATCGAACACGCACATGTGCACCACCGCCAGATCTCCGGCGATAAGCAGCTTGAAACACATCATCTTAGTTCCGGGAGATAACCGGCGAATCGTTGTCCGTACCTTCCTGATCGGCGGAAGTCGCATGTCCTGGATGCATGGGGTGGTGCTGGGGATGTTGATGCTCCGGTTGTCTTGGTAGCGGGAATTCATGCGTGATGTTGTTGTCGAGCGAATGGGAGGGGGTAACGTGAGAGGGTGGTGGATGTATGAAAGGACCGAGGGTCTGCGCTTAGTATGGTGTTGTAGGTGCCACGCTTGGAGTGGTAGTCTGTGATAGGTTCCTCTACCCCAGCTTGAGAGGGCCTCTGCTGCATGGCTTCGCGGAGCAATTGTTCCTTCCGGAAAGGTGCTAAGGTCCTCTGCGTCCGGGTTTAATTGCTTTCGAGTATGATCTTCCACTTTAGGGTTGAGATGGTTCGGAGGCGACCGCTGGACTAAATGCTGGACTACACTGGGGTGATAGGTAGTAAGGCAGTATAAAGCTACTATGTAGCACCCTTTGTTTGAAAGACAGGTCTACCAGCCCCGCCGATCCCTCGTTACACAATTCCCGACAAGACACTCGCTCGTCGTCTCATTCTCTCCCAGCCGCCAACATGAAGTTCCTCACCAACATCCTCCTCTTCATCGCGCCTATTGCCCTCGCTCTCCCCACTTCAGTCTCCGAAGAGGCACCCGTTGAGATTGCTGCTGTCGAGTCTAGACAATCTTGCTACGTCAAGTGCGGCTCAACATGCTACACTTCATCCCAAGTCTCTGCTGCACGCAGTGCGGGTTACAAGCTCTACCAGGCCGGAGACGAAGCTGGTAGCTCGACCTACCCCCATCGGTATAACAACTATGAGGGCTTTGACTTTTTGGTTTCGGGCCCGTATGAAGAGTTCCCGCTGAGGACCTCGGGTGCTTACACTGGTGGTAAGTCCAATATGTGTTGATGAGAAAAAGGGCCAATTAGAGAATGCGTGCTGACTGAGGTGTTTAGGATCTCCGGGTGCTGATCGTGTCATCTTCAACACTGCTGGACAGCGTGCGGGAGAGATTACACACACTGGTGCCAGTGGCAACGCGTTTGTTGCTTGCTCCGGATGGTAAACTTGTTGTAAGGAATTGATCGTGAAGACCATCAGAGGGTCGTTGGCGGCATCTGAGGGTGAGCGGTTTGCACGGTCCCAGAATGCAGTGCATCGGCGAGTTGTAACGAGGGATCGATGTTGCGTCCCAAAGAACTTTTCATCCGCATACCAGTGTCGGACATGTTGGAGGCAATCATTCATGTATATACCTTTTTTGAAACGATTGAATGCATTTTCAAGCTTCTTGCTGCATCGTGATGAGTTCGACTTCGATATGTGGCGTGCTTTCACGTGGTAGCGCGTCCGGAAGGCACGCTATCTCGTGTTTGTACTAGTGAGCCGCTCAATCCGCAATCTTCCTATCGCGAACCTTCTGTCAGAACGCGTAGCATTCTTTCAACGAACTCATCTCATTCATTGTCGCTTTTATTTAGCGCCATGTCACGCGTCACCAGTGGAGAACACCTTGCGCGACAAGAGTTAGAGGAAGTCATTAAGACCTCGACTCACAAGCGCTTACAAACTGTCCTGCTCGAAATATGCAACGAGTCGCCAGAAGCTTTCAAGCTAGCACACGACAAGCTTTTTGTGAAGGAAGAAGCAGCAGGGCGGCCAGCCGTGTCGCTTCTTGATGGGCCGCTCGCAGAGAATTCCGCCTTCAAGTTACCAAGAGCTCAGAAGCGCGGTCGACGCTTCGACATTTGTGTGCAGTGTTATAAAGAGTTTGATATACTTAAGGAGGAAAGGTGCGAATGGCATCCAGGTAAGAAGATCCCGACCATCAAAGTCCATAAATGTATCACTCACATCTATACAAGGAGACTTGGAGGTGTTTGAAGATGAGGACTTTTGGGCCGATTATGATGAAAACTGCCACGGAGAGATCGATACCGAAGAAATGCGTGAGGAGTATCCTGAAGGTTTCGTCTGGAGTTGTTGCAAGGGGTATGGTGATGCTAAGGGCTGTAGAACAGATCCTCACGAGCCACGCTCTGCGAAGAGAAGCAGGACTGAGAGTCCCAGTGGCGAGTCATCATCGGAACACGATTCTGAATCAGAGTAGAGAGACGCTTGTGTGTCTATTTCAGTAATGTCTTTAGTAATAACGGTGTTCATCTTCGATGCCTTCACCGACAACCGTTCCAAGCTGTCCGAAAGCAGCATTCGTCCACTGCGCACGTCCAGAGGAGGGAAGGCTATGCGAAGCGCATGATCATATCGAGCTATATCACTCCGTATTTAACCTTGCTCAAATCAAGCTATTGGATACGCGCGCTTACTGCGTCAAGGGTCCTGAGGTCCTGACTGTGTAACCGCCCAGCCAACAACATAAGATCAGCTCAATGCCCATCATCACACTCCACCGGAGCCATCATGAGGTCTATAATATACTCTTAAGCACCAGTTGATACCATGTCGTCGCAACAGCAACTGGCAAGATGATCACCAACATCTGACAATGTGACCGTAGCAGGCAAAAGGGCATGGAAACCAACACCATCTTACGTCCGATGAGTGAAGGCAACATCATATCTGAAGAGGGGGACTATAGAACTGGAGGGATGTATAAGAACTATGAAGAGACACACTCAAACAGCTCACAACACATCTTCCCGCACTTCCATCTTCACTACATCAGAAATCTTTCAATCCACCAGGAGCTTTCAGTCTTAAACTTCAACATGCACCTCTCCACCGCTATTACCACCTTGTCCGCTTTCGCTGTCATGAGCGCCAGCGTGAGTGCCTTCCAGGCCGACTTCGACACCTGGGACGTCCGAGGCTGCATGGGCAGTGGTGAACCAGGACGCCTTAACCACTACCCCACGGTTAACAAGGACGTATGCGGTGACCTACCCAATGCTGCGAGCATCAGAGTCAACTACTTAGAGGGCAACTGCCAAGGTAAGTCTACGGCCCTCAGCATCCTTGGACCTGCGATCGTGGCGCTGACGATGGATGTGTAGTGAACCTTTACTCTGGAGACAGGTGCACTGGTGACTTTACCGTGTACAAGAAAGAGCCCAACTACAACCAGTCATGCAAGAATGTTGATGGCAAAGTAAGCTACAAGGTTACTTGCTAGATTGTCGCATTTGTTGGACAGTGAGAACAAGTGATGAATGAGGCGCCTCGTAGACGGAGCTGGCAACGGCGTGGATATTTGGACAGTCATTACCATTCCTTCTTCTTTTCTGGTGTATCTCACCCCACTCTTTGTAGATTTGTTTCTGTACGTCTGGCCGTCTGTTCAACACGAGACGGAAGCGTACTTAGAACAATCGAACCTTTCCACCCAAATGTGCTCGACTGGCCATGTGATGATTCGCGGTAGGAAATGTGTGAGTTTGAGGAATACGCTGCGGTGCTATCCCACTTGATGGAGCCTGCCATACACTCACGCAGTCTTCCTCCACGCGTCAGCCAACAGCGCCCCACCGGCAACCATACCACAAGCACCAACACCCCAATCACTCAGCAACCCTTGTTCTAATGACCAGTGAACAGTCATGGGCGCATATGCCAGATTAGACGCAAGATCCTTCCACCACAGCCAGTTTTCCAATTTCCTGGCCTTGATCCGCTCTTCCCTCTGGATCTTATCCTCCTTCTCCCCATCACCCGAGCTCACCGATGTCGATGTAGCCGGCGAAGCGTAATACTGCTGCACACCCAAACGAACCAACTCGACACCCACATACGCAGCCCAAAACCTCGAACTCCACAACCACCACGCATTCTCCCGGGCTTTACCCACATCGCCCGTCCAACTCGCCGTTGTCAACGCGCCCTTTGAGCTCAGGTACGCGCCGTTCTCCAAGACCTGGAAACCAATACAGGACATGATGGCCGTCCACGTCAATCCCCTCAGTATCTTCTCTTTCCTACTTGCATCTTCCGGCAACCGGTCTTGATATGTATCCCGCGCCCAAGTATACAAGCCCAGTACGCCCCATAATCTCACGAAGATGCGGAAATCGGATATGACAGCCGCAAGCGCTTTCGAACTTCCAACTACTTGTGCGATGACTTTTGTGCTCGTGGGTGCTGGGAGGGAGGCTATGAGCGTTTCGCCGGGGAGTAGGACACCCTCTGCTTTCTCGGCGATTTCTGTAGCGATGGATGCGAGGCGGCGTTCGAGAACGCGGGAGAGGACGGCGTGGATGAGGGTTAGGGTGTAGGAGGTTGTGCATAGGAGGACGTCGGTGCCGCTGGGTGTGGAGAGGAGTTTGGAGAGGCGGACGAGCGTGCGGTCTGCGGTGCCAGCGGTTCTGGCGAGGTATCTTAGGAGGAGGAAGCGCAATTTTTGTATCGTTGTCAATCGTGACGGTGTTGTGGGCGTAGGTTTCGCATCAGATTGTGGAGTTGGCTGGTTTGCGCTGGTAGAGGAAGGGATGGTAGTGGAGTCCGGATGCGAGTCCTCCATGTTGAGAAAGTGAGTATTAGGGTAGACGCTCAAGGGAGACTTGGAGGCGAACAGAAAGGAGTGTCGGTGCTATCGAGCCTGCATGGTGTTGTTGATTCCGCGCGTAGAGAAAACATGACACCACCCGCGTCTTGACCGAGGTTTGCTCGGGAAGTTGCTTATCGCGTCATCGGCCCGCACGTGGAGCCCACGTTTGGCGACGACCCGTCCATCTTCATTCACATGTGACGAGAGATGGACCCTGAGGAGCTCAACCACTAGCTTCGCATCACCGATCGCGTGAGGTCTCGTGAGCCATGGTCGCAGAATCCCATGGCGAAGGCTAGTCGTCATGAACTTTGTTCTATGCCATTTGGGTTTTGTATAGAAAGCTTCGACTCGGCCCACGGCGCGGATCCCTGCCACCTCGTCGTCTTCCCCATACCGTCCCCACTCATACCGCCTCATCTATCGCGGGGAGAAGATACGAGAGCGGGCTCTCTCTCCACCTTCTTATACACCGCCTGGTCGCGTTGAACACCACCGCTTTCGCTCTCACCTCCACCTCCGCAATCATGTCAACCCCAGAGATCCCCACGCGTCGACCGACCTACCCTCTCGCTCACGCTTTCCGCCGTAAACCCCGTCGTCTCCCTCTCGTCCTCCGCTTCTCAAAGGGCGCCGTACACGACATCATCCTCATACCCGTGCTCCTTCACTCGCTCTTCACCGTCCTGATCGTCTACATCGATACCCGCTATGTGGACAGCATATCCATCCCGGCGACCATCATACCCTCGCTCTCCATAGTAGTCGGTCTGATGCTAGTCTTCCGCAATAGCACCGGCTACGACCGCTTCTGGACCGGCCGCAACTGCCTCACCACAATCGGAACCTGCGTCCGCAACCTCGCTCGGATCTGTCTCGTAAATTCCCGCGACAAAGATGGCCATGCCACGGAAGAAGAAAGAAGAGATACAGAGAATATAGTCCGGGTCCTAGTAGCCGTCTTGTACTCTATCAAACACAACCTCCGCGCAGAATTCAATATCCCACCCGCCAGTCTGGCTACCTTGCCTCCTCAACCAAGCGTCTACCCGAACCGCTCCCGCCCTGTTTCCAGACGACCCAGCTACATCGACCGCACTGGTAGTTTCGGCCCGTTCTATCCCCCCATTCTCACAAACAACAGCACGAGCACAACCCCGCTTCTCGGCGGATCGACTGCTACTCTCGAAAACGGCGATGGCACCACGCCTATGAAGAAGGACGAATATGTGTCGCTCCTCCCGGAAGGCTTGATGGGCTATGAAGACCAGGGTCTCGGTCTACCCTTGCAACTCACGATCCTGCTAGAAGGCTACATCCGCCGCGGCCACGATAGAGGCTGGTTCCATGCGCCTCTCTCCTCGCAGATGACTGTTCAGCTCAATACTCTTGTTTCTGCGTACGGCACTATGGAGACTATTCACAGCACGCCCATCCCTGTCGCACACCTGATTCACCAGAAGCAGGTCCTGGCGCTGTATGCATGTGTCCTTCCTTTTGCCATTGTCGATGATTACAGGTGGTGGAGTGTGCCCATTGTGGCTATCATTGCGTTTACGCTCTATGGCATTGAGGGTATCGGCGTGCAGTTGGAGGATCCGTTTGGATATGATAAGAATGATATCAAGATGGACGGGATCATTGAGGATACGAGGCAGGAGGTTATGGTGTTGCTGGAGGAGTGGAGGGCAAGTCACGAGGGAAGGGCTATGGGTGGTATGTTTGAGTGTGAGTCGTTTTGCGAGTGAAGATCCAACGACTGGATCTGAACGAAGAGATGGAGTACGACGAGATAACGAAAGGGTGAGCCACGAACTAATGTTTGTTTTGGTCTTTACGAGTTTCCATAGCGTAGATACCCCAGAAGCACAATGGCCAAACGAATGTGTCCTACACGGAAAGGAAGCTGCAAGCGCGAAGATTTGGTTGACTTTGTTACAATACATTAGCTACCGTTCTTCCGCCCTCCTGTATGTCTTGCTTACTCTTGAACTATAACACATTGCAACATGATCCCCCCACCCAGACCTACATGGAGATCATAACAATCGCTTTGTACACGCCATAACGCCCGGAAATATGCAACTGAGCCCGAAAGGAGAGGTTTCCAAGAGAAAGAAGTTGAAAGATGCAACACGCTCAGTTTGCGGATCGGCTAATCAAATCGCACCGGAGGTAGAGTCGGTGCTCCGCTGTTACTTCGCGCTCCACTGCTGTCGGAGTCAGACGGAGGAGATGTCTCGCGCATGCGGCTGCCGGCTGTCCTTCCCGCACTACCATCGAGTACAAAAGGGCCGGCGTCGTTCCTTGGGGTCATGGGACCATCCTGTACGCGATCAGGGCTTAGGCCATTGCTGCCGGCAGGATACAGAGGCGATAGTCCCACGTACTCATTCGCACCGTTGACGTTGATGGACACTGGCTGTGTGACTGACGATGTTGGTGGCGTGAGGCGGCGATCGGGCGTCTCTAGTACAGTCTGGTTCTCGATGTTTGTGATCTGATGGTGTAGATCCGTCAGATCAACACCACCGTCTGAATCGGTGCCATTGATCTGGGCGACCGAGGCACGGGGAGTGACGTGACGGTCACCTTGCTCGGCGCTGGCGTGAGGAGCCGTGTCACCGTTGACTACCTCCTCGTCACCCTCCCAATCCTCGAACTCGCCCATGTCTTCTACATCCTCTTCTAGATCTGCGACCGCCCTGCAATTTGGGCAGAGGAAGTTGGGCCATGTGGGTCCATTCAGAATAGGACGGATACACTTGTAGTGCCAGACGTGGGAGCAGGGTGCTACAAACAGAGACTGACATGGCTGTGCACTGATTAGTACGGTTAGGTCTCGATACTATGGGAGTACGTACGGCTATGGACATCAAACAAATAGCACATTCAGACGTATGTGTGGAAGTATTATCTCCCGTGACCTCCTTCTTGTTCTTGGCAAGCGCGCGTAGTCGTTGATGGGTTTGTTTGCTGTGCGGGTTAGTGGTCGGCTTCCAGCGCAGACAACTCAACTTACTTGAAGGTATTTAGTCCCTGCTGCCAGCCGCGGTTACATTCCACGCGGATCTTGACACATCTGAAGATCATCTCCTCGCCGCCACGGAAATCGATGCCCAACTGGATGATGTCGCCATCCTTTATGCGGAAGGGCTTTGACTCGACGTTCGGCTGACTTAGACGGATGTGGTTCAGGAAGGTGCCTGAGGAGCTCTTTACGTCTTTGATATACCAGCTGCCGTCCTTGCACCACAGCTCGCAGTGCTTCCTACTGACCACCTTGGACTTGAAACCGATGGCTGCAGCCGACGGGGCATTGGTCTGGACTTCGGGAAGATTGTCGCGCTCCGAGTATCTTCCTACGCGAAGAATCGCGCTCTCGTCGGGGAGAGTGCGGTTGATGGTGGGGAATATGAGCGAAGGTCTGCCGGCTCGGGGGTCCTGATGCGGGATGAAACGAATCGAGGGGAGGTGCTTGACGGCGCCCGCGCTCTCGGTGGCGCCTTCCATCGGTTGGGCGGTGGCGGGCCCTGGTGTTGAGGTGGGCGTGGGTCCGGTGTTGTTGCGCACTTGCAGTTGGGGCTGAGCCGTCTCGGAACGGGTTCTCGTCATGGTGGGTTTGGGGGTAG